AGCAAATTCACTCATGTAACTTTCATAATTTTCAAGCACCGTAACAAAGTAAAACCAAGTCATGCACTCACTTTCATCCAAGGTCAATCATACAAGTTTGCAAGCAACAATCAACCATTCACACAAGCAAAGTCCAGCACGGTGCAATCAATCAAGCCATGGTGCAACTCATTGATGAAACGAATTTTGAGCTACTCGTCATGCAAAAGATTGTCGTTAATCCTCATCAAATATGCAAAGAAATGAATGCAGTACTAGGGTGTTATCCTAGGTCGTCTCCAAGGAATTTTTGGTTGGGAATATACATCGAACAAGTGTAAACATATATTTTAAAACAAGTAAATTGGGGGGAGGTTTGTCAATTTCCGGATTTTAATCAAGAACGAAATGTAAATTAATGAAATTCAATCAATTAAAATGAGTAATCCCTAGTCAAGCAATGAGTTCTATCATTATTCTTTCAAATGATTCAATAATCCCCTTTCTTTCCCTTGAATTAAGTTAATCTAACAAGCGAAGACTAACTTTAACATCCCAATTAAAATTAAGCATCTTAATGGGCTCCAATCTCTATCCCTAAGATTAAGCAACCTCAAGGATTAATCAAAATTAAGCAATTTTGAATTAGAATTTCGTTAGGTAAATTAGGGTTCATTAAGCAATGTTCCCTTCATGCAAATTCCACTTCATTCAGAGATTGGGGTTAATAAATTCAAGGAAAGAAAGATTTGTATTGCAATTAATCCAAGAATTCAAGATTCATGTGCATTGACTAGGAATTACAAGAAAGTTTAACCCTCCATATGGATGGGCTTCACAAATGAGAGAAAGAAATGCAAGAACGTAAACATCATTAATGTAAATTCAACAACAATCAAAGGAGAAATTGGAAATTAAAACCTATAGAGGACCCTTGGCTGTCACCCAAGACTCCAATGTCGTAAGAAATTATCCCAATTTGGCAAAGAAAAATTGTGTAAAGTGTCAAAAGTCCCGTACCCTAATTCCTAAAATCTATTTATAGTGGATGACATGTCACCAAAGTGTCCACTTTTGCCTTTGAAAGTGTCCACTTTGGGCCTTGAAAGTGTCCACGCGCAGAATGAAAGTGTTGCCACTTCTCTGGAGTTGCCACTATTTGTGCTGAAAGTGGCTACTTTGGTGCGCGTGGCTACTATAAGAGCCAATAGTGGCCACGCGCAGGAATGCTTCAAAATCAGCGTCCTGGAGCTTCTGGAGTTGCCACTTTTGGGCTTGATAGTAGCTACTTTGGTGCTTTTAATGCCCAGACTTGCTGTAGTTGCCACTTTTGCTTCTAAAAGTGGCTACTTTGAGGGAAACTTTCATCCAAGGGCCAAGATTTCTCAAAATTAACTTGGGGACTGCAAAATTATTAAGATAATTAAAATTGCAATCTATATCTATGTAATTAAATGCAAATTAACCAAAAATTAATAAACCTATGATATTTACTCAAAATGTGATTTCTCTATTATTTGCACTATCTAAGTCCATTTTTTCTATCAAGGAGCACCAAAAAGACAAGTAAAAATATAATAAAAAGTGGATTCATCACTCATTCACTTCCATTTAATTTCCTTACACCTAAAACAAAGCATGCAAGGTATAGTTCAACTTTATAGAATTTCTTAAAGGTCAAAGTCAAGGCTGTCCACTAGAATTAGCCCTTTCTTTTTGTGTAATTCCTTTTTATAGTTTATACCAACCTTTTCCAAATAGTTCTAGACCTCAAAATACAAAAGTTCTAACCTTTTTTGTAAAAATCAAAATTGTCCAGTATTATAGTTCATTTTTCCACCAAAGTTCAAAGCATACAAAATAGAGAAACTAACATGTAATCATATAGCTTCACCATTCAAGTGCAGGGCTTTTATTTCCAACAAGGGTTCACGCTTAAAAGGACAAAACTGAGGCAATACAAGATGGTTTTAGCACTCAACCACTTAATTTTCCAAAAATCTTGAAAGTAACTTGTTTCAAGAGTGATTAAACTTCAGAACAAGGAATCTGAAACATGCAAAGGTAGGAAATTAACATGCAATGGATGAAACTTAACATGCAAGCTCATGGTTCCATGGTTCCAAGGGTGAATCATCATTTGATCAAGAGATTTAACAAAACAAGTGCAAATTCGTGACATACACAAGAAGAAATTAGCATGCAATTAGTAAAAATTCAAACTTCCAAAGGGATCACCTCATCCAAGCACAAAATCGAGAATTTGGAGGCAATAAAAATGAAGTACAAGATGGAAAACATAACATGCAAAGGGTGATTTCAACTTGTTCAAGGTCATTGAAGATAAAAATAAAATCTTTTCAAGAGTTTTCACAAGTAAAGCCAAGGAAAGGCAAATCAAGAACAAGAAAATGAGAACTCCTCCTTACCTTTGAGTTTGGGCATGAAATTAAAGAGAAGAGGGCTGGAAATTGTGGATCTCCAAAAGGACCTTGTTGGACCGAGAAAACAGCACCAAGGTGGTTCAAGTTCCTCCTCCAAAGCAAGCTTCTTCAACACGAAACTTAAAGAGAAGGTGGAGAAGCATGTTAGTGAGGGAAGGATGTAGTGTTTGTACGGTTTGGATGAGAGAATGGTGAGGTTTTGTGGGCTGGAGCCTCTCGGTTTCCTTGAGAAAAGTTGAGAGAATGAGAGACTTAGAGAGGATGAGAAGTGACGGAGCAAAGTGAGAGAGAAATAGAAGAGGGGTCTCAATTTTTTGGCAACAAAATGAGCGATTGGAACAAGTTGGTCAAAACCTCACTTCCTAAATGTCAATAAACACTCACGGTTTGGGCTTGTTGGGTAAGTTTTGCGAGTTCTAAAATTGTACATGGTTCAAATGAGATAAAATTGAAGTGAAATTGGTAAAAAATTGTACAAGAAGGGGTGTCACGGTTTTTCAAATAGGAATGGTAATTTTTAGGGAAACTTGCAAGTAAAGCATACATACTTTTAGCAAGCAAAATGCATGGAATGGCTTATGGCTGCATGCACACGGTTTTGATGATACAATTCCCAAAATCGGCACAAAATTCCAAGGGTAAGATTTTGGGCAGCAATTGCATGAATTTCTATTGGCCGGAATGGAATGTGACATGATTAGGTTGACATGGTGCTAATTTCAAGAAAGATAATTAATTAAGGTAATCATGGTGTCGGCATTTTGGAAGACAAGACAAGAATGTTCCAAAATGATTATGTTTGCAAATCGGGAGACAAGAGTTTTTTGCATGTAATTCTAGTGGCCGATACTAGATTTGGGAAGATTCGGGTAATTATGATATTTGAAATTTAGGGGACAAGAATATATTGTATGAAAATCTAGTAGCCGATACTAGATTTGGAAATCTTTAAAGTAATGATTACTAGATTTTGTGAGATTCCGTGTAATGATTACGACAGTTAAGGAATGATTAAAGATCTAATGCAATGATTACAAAATCTCACGTTTTTTGAGGTGGATAATTATGATTTTTTAATAATTTAAATAAGACAAAAATTAGCTTTTTGAACAAGATTCTTAGGGGTATTTTGGGCAGTACAGCTGAACATAGCCAGGATAATTTTGGATGATATCAAAGCTAAATGTATTGCATGCAGTCATTCTAAAATGCAAAACTTAGAGATCAAATCAATATTCTCCTTAGAGAATAAAATAAAAATTTTCAGTATCTAGCTAATTACCCCGATACTAGCAAACAAAATTAGCAAACAATCGATATCTAAGTATCATTAGCTTAGTTGACAAATTTTGGGGCATTACAGCCACCGAGCTACGGTTTCCACCTTTGTAGGGTCTACCATAATTCCATCTTTGGACACCACATGCCCCAGAAACTGAGCTTCTAAGTTATCTTTTTACTTTTATCATTTTGAATAATGACATATTTTATAAATTAAGTAATGAAAATAAAAGTTTTAAATATTTATTGAATTTTGCATTAAGAATATAAATAAATTCATTTCTTTATTTCCCTCTTTTATATATAAATTATTTCACAAATTTGATGATAAAATAAAAGCATTACACAACGTCCTGGTTAATTTAATTAAATAAGAATGTCAAATATTTCCCATACTAGTTTCTCCAACTGTGGTACTATTTTGGACTAGTTAAATTAATTCTTCCTTCTGCAATAAAAGAAGGATTTTTCCAATTTTAGAAAAGATACAATGGGCAAGAATAAAGAATCTATCTTGACCTCATACATTTCTCAACTTTCTCCTTTGCTTGGGTATTTTCTTAGCAATACTCATATGAAAAACAAGAAAACCAAATCCTCTTCGAGTTCTGCAAAGACATGTCTTTGTCAAATGATGAAATCAATTTGATGTTTCTCAGGCAAGACTCGATCAAATCAATAATTGGTTGGTAATAAATCCTCAATTTTTGAGGTTGCAAATGCGCATACCTATATATTTCTCAACAAAAAAAGCTAAACTAGTAGTTTTTTTAGTAGGAAGTAACTTAAAAGAAGCTCTTGCCAAAAATTTGAAGGGTGTTAAGTAATTCAAAATAAGAAACAACTCGAAAAATCTTTAAAAGTAATCTTTAATAAAGCTTTATCATCAAAATTCTATAACATGAGTTCTAGCATAATGAAGATGATTATTTTAAAATTGATAAAAATAAACATTTTTACCTGTATTATAGAAACAGTTTTTGTAGACATAAATTGAATTATAGAAACAATATTTTCAAATTTTATATAGAGTTGTGAGAATCTTATTTTTATATTTTATTTTTTCCTTTCTCCTTAATTTTATTCGGATTACCGTCGCTTCAACTTTATTCTGTATCTCGCTTCACTAGCCCTGAACTCCAATAAAATTTACTTTGAGTATTTTATTTCATATATATTACCGCATCTTGCATTTCATGCTTTAAAATTATTTATTAGGTTATATATGAAGTGACACAATTGAAACGAGTGTCTTCTATTTTGACGGTCAGGGTTGTCATCCTGCAACTTGTTTCACAGATGGCTGAAGATATGAAAAAGCTTCACATAGTAATGCTTCCATGGTTAGCCTTTGGTCACATGTTTCCAAACCTTGAGTTGGCCAAGCTCATAGCTCAAAAGGGTCATCGTGTAAGCTTCGTATCCACCCCAAGAAACATAAAACGCCTCCCCAAACTATCACCAAACTTGGCTATATTCATCAAATACGTGAAGCTTCCATTGCCCAAAGTCGAGAACCTTCCAGAAAACGCAGAGGCCACTACCGACATCCCCTACGACCTCGTTCCATTCCTTAAAAAAGCCTACGATGCCCTCCATGAACCTTTAACTCGTTTTCTCGAATCTTCCAATGCCGATTCGATCTTCTACGACTTTGCTCCCTTCTGGGTAGGTTCTGTTGCTTCGAAACTCGTTATTAGGAGCGTGTTTTACAGCACTTTTCCTGCTCCAGTTCTAGGCTTCGTTGGGCCCGCTGAGTTTCTCACCGGCAATGACCCGTTCCGAAAAAACCCCGAAGACTTCACAGTTCATCCTCCGTGGGTCCCTTTTCCAACCACCGTTGCATTTCGTTTATTTGAAATCATGCGGATCTTCGACATTGTCTCCGGCGGTAGCTCCGGTATTTCAGACATGAACAGGCTCAGTTTATGTATCCAAAACTGTGATGTCGTGGTAGTTAGAGGGTGCACCAATTTCGAACCGGAATGGTTTCAAGTGTTGGAGAACATTTACCAGAAACCGGTTCTCCCCGTTGGTCAATTACCCAGCACGGGGTTTGACGACGACGACGACGAGAATGACACGTGGCGGTGGATGAAGGATTGGTTGGACAAACAAGCGCGTGGCAGTGTGGTGTACGTGGCGTTTGGAAGTGAAGCGAAACCGAGTCAAGAAGAAGTCACGGAGATAGCTCTAGGGTTGGAGAAATCGAAGCTTCCATTTTTCTGGGCTCTGAGGCTTCAACGTGGGCCCTGGGACCCACATGTGCTACGGTTACCAGAAGGGTTTGAGGAGCGAACCCAAGGGCGTGGAGTGGTGTGCACCACCTGGGCCCCACAACTGAAGATATTGGGCCACGTGGCAGTCGGTGGGTTCTTGAGTCACGCTGGGTGGACCTCTGTGGTGGAGGCTGTTCAGACAGAGAAGCCACTGGTACTGTTACCGTTTCTTGCAGACCAAGGGTTGAACGCAAGGATGTTAGAGGAGAAGAAGATGGGTTACACGGTGCCCAGGAACGAGCGAGATGGATCCTTCACGAGTGACTCGGTCGCTGACTCGGTGAGGCTGGTTATGGTTGAAGAAGAGGGAAGGATCTATAGGGAAAATATTAAAGAGGTGAAGGATTTATTTGTCAATAAGGAAAGACAAGAAAGGTACATTGATGAGTTGTTGCACTACCTTGGGACCCTGCCGAAACGTTAATCTCGTTATTGGGTTGGTTCTGAGCTTCTACTAGATAATATTTGTTTTGTTGAAGTGATATAATAAAACCTCTGTATTAATTAGATAAGGGTCTTAGGGATAAATTTCAAAAGAGCGATTATGAAAAAGCCAAACTTTTGCGACCCTTTATATTTGTCTCTTATCTCGTGAGATTGCTATTAGTTGTGGTTTGGTTTATGTTTCTGGCTTATCTCGTGTGATTAGCTTGTGGCTGTTCCGTGAGAGTTTTCCTCTACCACGGTAATCGTACTGCGCGTGTTTGAATATTTCTTACTCTTTATGTTTTCCTTTTCTGGCATTACAGGGTTTTATCCTCCCTGGCTCGTTAGCATTTAGTGCTTCATCGCTTGCGAGATGTGTAACATTGCTGTAACAGTCATTCAGTACAATTTCATTTTGTCGATCAATATGACGAGTTGTATAGTTTGATTTAACTCTTACAGGGAAGAGAAGTGGAAAAACGATGGATTTCATTATTAATCTAAATTTAACTATGTTTATAAAATAACATATTTAAATTAAAAATAAATAAATTCTTAGCTTCTATATTTATCTGTATCTCTTTCTCTAAAGTTGATAGTTCAATTTTATTTTACTCAAAAAATTATTTTAACTGAACATAAAAAATAATATGTAATTTGATTAAATTTAAATATAATTTTAAAATTGAACCAAATTTAATTATAAAATATTGATTAATTTGTGTTTATTTTCAAATAGTACTTATGCTTAATAATATCCGATTCTATATATTTGTGATTTAATTTTTTATAAAATTATTTTTGTACTTTTAAAATTTGTTATTTTAAATTTTTATAAGATTTTATTAATAATTATTTTTAATCTTTTGTTTACAAATTTTGTATGTATTTCGTATAATCTTATATGTATATTATACTGAGATGATTTTAAGAATTAAAATTTTTACTTATGTAGTTTTAATTTATAATAAAAATAATTTTTAAATTAATAAAACTTTGACTTTTATTTTCAATTTTTAGAGTTCTTGTAACGCTCTAAATTTTTGTAATATTAATTATAATATATATATATATATATATATATATATATATATAAATGTGAATGGATGTTGGAATTGCACTTGAGTGCATGATGAGTATTGAATTGCAATATATATATATATATGTGTGTGCATATATGATAAACGTGGATGTTGATTGTGTGTCGAGATTGACTACACTGAATTGTTTGAAATAGGCTGAGTGTAAGGTGCAGGGTGTTCTTGCTGTAGCGAGAGGGCTCTGGGAGGAAGGTGTGAAACTGTGCCTTCTCGCTACAATAAACGTGGATGTTGATTGTGTGTCGAGATTGACTACACTAAACTGTTTGAAATAGGCTGAGTGTAAGGTGCAGGGTGTTCTTGCTGTAGCGAGAGGGCTCTAGGAGGAAGGTGTGAAATTGTGCCTTCTCGCTACGATAAACGTGGATGTTGATTGTGTGTCGAGATTGACTACACTGAACTGTTTGAAATAGGCTGAGTGTAAGGTGCAGGGTGTTCTTGCTATAGCGAGAGGGCTCTGGGAGGAAGGTGTGAAATTGTGCCTTCTCGCTGTAGCGAGAGGTCCCTCACTGCAGCGAGAGAGCGGCAATTTGGGGTGCATTTATAGGTGCAGTCTCGCTACAGCGAGACCCTCTCGCTGTAGCGTGATTCTGCAGAAATCAGAGTACAATTTCCTCTGAGATTTTTGCTGCAGCGAGAGTGTCTCACTGTAGTGAGAGTGTCGCGACCAGAGGAGCATTTCAAAGGGTTTGGGTTTGGAAAATTCATTTCTCATTCCTCTCTTCAAAATTCCTTCAATTCTCTCGACCCAAAATCCTATTTCACCGATTAAATTACCTCGAAAGTCGTTTGTGAGTTAGATTGAAGATTGGGTTTGTGTTGAGAATGCTTAGCCGTGAGTTTTAATGGTTAGGTTTCGGTTTTCGTTGTGTACATAGTCTAATTAAGTGATTATTTCATGGCTTTGATGGATTGATTGAATCGTTCTTCAGTTTGATAGGTGGACTTTGATATCTTATGTTTGATTATTTGGGATAGAATATATACCTTGTGAGGTTTTGAGCCATATAAATGACAATATCATGTCATTTTACTTTCCTTCATTATGTGATTGCACTCATGGTTGTATGACACTAGAACTTGCCTTTAGCCTTTTTGAGACTATATTTCCATATGTTTGCATTAAATTGATAGAGGCATCGTTTCCTTCTTGCAAACTACTAGCCAAAAAGTCATCCTTGCATTATTTTCATTGTTTGAGCCCCTTGAGCCTAATTGTCCTATTTCTTGTGATCTTAGCCCATTTAAAGTCAAAGGTGTAAAACAATAAAATGACCCAACCTTAGGAGATACAAGAACTTTGAAATTATTTTAGGAATGATCCTAGAAATAAGTGTGGGAGAGATTACTTTAGAAAATGCAATAGAAAAGAAAAATCAGCTCTTTAAAAAAAAAAGAAAAAGAAAAGAAAAGAAGGAGAAATAAAGAAAAAGAAAAAGTAAGCAATAGAAAGGAAAAGAAGCATTGGATGGCTAGCAAAAGTAAAAGAGAATTATTTTTGGATTGTATTACATTATATTTTTGTTTAGGGGATTTGCTTTCATGCTTATTTTCTTTGGATTCATTCCCCATTGTTCTTATATCCTCTTTAGTTTTAGCTCGATTACCATTGTAATTTTTTCACCTTCACTGTGCCCCTTTATAACCTAGAAAAGTCCTCTTGATTTTTGTGTGTATGTGTGGATTCTAGTGGAGAAGTAGGCAATGAGCAAGCTTATGGATGATCATGCTTCATGTTGTGCATTTTGAGTGACACACTTTACCTTATACACTTAAGTGATTGAGAGTATATCATGAGAGGATTCTATCTCTTATGGTTCATTCACTTGATTTTATAAGTTCATCTGTCAATTTGAAGTGTGAGGATTGATATTCATTCTAGCCATGATATTTGAACTTGATGGGCTTTGTACATAGCCTAATTTGTTTTAGGTCCCCTTTGGTTTGATTTTGTGATTTGCCCTGGAGGGCAAAATCTTAAGTGTAAAAGAATTTGATGTAACATATTTTATGTTTACATTTAATATTTTATTTTGATTAATAAACACTTTTCACATGCTTTATTTTTATAATTTTTACCATTTTCTGCTTATTTGAATAAATTGTACCTATTACAAATAAATGCTTTAATTATGAATTTTCGGTTATTCTGACCTTTGATTACTCTTTTGGCCATAACATTTTCTACAGATATCATTTTTGGCTGATTCTAGTTGCATTAGATTCTATACATCCAGAGCTTTAAAATCCATATATGGATCATTGAATTTGGAGTTATTTTCTATTTTTTATGATTTTTTGAAGTTGAGGCAGATTTGCTGAATATTGTTGTAGGATTGCATTTGGATCCTTGTTATTTAATAATTGTATTTGAGCTTTTAGATATTATTGAGGCCCGTATTTTGGCCACTTAATTTACCCTAATCAGAACCTATAAATAAACTAATAAGCTTCTGAATTAGGGGGAGGGGATTAGACACTTAGAACTTTTAAACTTGGCCGAAATAAGAATCGTTGTTTTTACTTTCTCTCGAACTTTCTTGTTCTTTTCTCATTCTTGCGTGGGTTAAGTGTTTCGATGGAAGGCTAAACCTCTCGTTTAATTTGCAGAATCCAAACGTTGTAGTTTCAACCTGAGTTCTATGCTAATTGCTCTGAGTTTGTTCTCTTTTTCTCTCTAATCTCAGAATTATTTATTGCCATCATGATTGACTTTTCTATTGTTAGATTTCAAATTAGGACTTGATTGATGCTCAAATTTGATAATTAATGCGAATTAGGTTAAATGATTATTTGATTTAATTTGTAACTCTATTCAATTAGGTTATTTGATTGAATTGGATGATTGTTCAAATGTAGATTTAAATCTTTAGATATTGTGATAATTGGAGTTACACGCAATTGATATTCTGTGGATTGATGTTTCTTAATTCATTTTTTTACTCACTTTAATTTTGTTCTTAATTTAATTTGATTAATTGTAATTTTCAAAACCCCAAAAACCTTATTTGCATTTTTTAAAAGAAAACCTAAAATTGAAGTTGACTGAAAATGTGTCTCCGTGAATCGACATAGGTTTGACTCTATACTGCAAAATCTTTAGAAAACTTAGTTGTTTTGATAGCGGCTCGGCAATCGTCTATCATCCCTCTTCTCTGTTTTCTGGATTCTCTTTGATTTCTCATGGAGTTTCCCATGTGTTTAAGGCACGAAATTTGTGTGGGGAACGTTTTCTACCATTAGTTTGTGTCGGGTCTTCGATTCGAGGTAAGGGAGGACTCTACCCTTTCTCATTGTGTTTGATTTACTATTTATTTTGCTAAATATTACAATGTGGCTGAGATAAAGGGTAGGAAACGTTTGTTGATGGAAATTATTGTGTGTTTGAATACAATGTGATGCGTGATGAGCTAGTTGAGCCCATTGTGGGTAATTGTGTATTGTGACATGCCATTGATTGGTGATTTAATAATGTGATTTGATTGTGGTAAAGTCTGATGAGGATTTACTGCTTAAGTGTGCTGTGAATGAATGTGGGCCTGTGTGTCGTGTATGAACATGAATATTGTGTGCAATTGAAATGTGTGTGAATGACGCATGTAAAATGCGGTTGTGAATATGCTATGAATGGTTCAGCGATACACTAGAGGTGTGAAAGATGAGGATAGTAGAAATATCGTGCGAAAGAGAGAGTGGCGGTGACATTAGCAGTGAGCGTGGGTGCACCATAGGCCACACACTCTCCTCCTGACTAGACCTCTGACTAACACCTTTGCCGAGCGACTCGTGACTGCACACGTGGTATCCGTGATGCAGGGGTAATCAGCGACCATCCACAGTATGAAACTGTGATCACAGTGTCATAGTGAACTGGCTACGTACAGTGAGCACATGTGTGTGTAAATGTTTTGGTGTCGTGAGTGCATCGGTTACGAATTGCAATGAAATGCTTGAAAATGTTGCTTGTGATTGCCTGTACTTGAGTAT